CTACATAAGGAAGCCCAGACCAGGAGACTAAATTGACCTCATGTTTGCATCAAAAGCAGATTTTTTGTTTTCTCCTTAGTGATGCAAAATCTCCAAGTACTCACTTGTCATTTTTGGGACTGAGTCATCCTTGTGAGCATGTTTTAGGTTTTGGTGCATGTCTTTGCTGGAACAATTTGTTGGAGGTCCAACTTCATTTTAAAATGCTGATGCTCTCTGGAGAAGGCCAAAACACTGGTGCTGGTAAGGGATAAATCATCAAACCCCAATTTTATTGCCCTTCGGTTTTGAAGGACAGCTTTGCTACTTGAACATTAAAGTTTGCTTGTGTGGCAATACTGGCAAAGCATGTGTAGACCAGCCCTTAATGGCTAATCTGGAGCAAAATCATTAATTTGGGAAGACAGCTCCTTTCCAAGAGACAAGTGTCTCCCTCTTGTCTGGTTCCTGACACCCTGCAGTGTAAGTAGGTCATCAAACTGTGTTTGCACTGAGGTGATGTGAGAGCAGGTAAAAGTTTTGTGTTGCAAAGCATCAAACCCAAAGTGTGTGTCTCTTGTTTCCCAGATTTTCTGATGGCTGTTCACTGTAAATATCAACAACCTGCTTGTGGTGAATGTGGTCTGGAGCATTCTGGTAGGCACAGTCTTTGCAGACAGGTGTTTTCTTTATTTGTTTAGGTTCCAATATACCAGCACTCCAAGGATTAAAGCTTTCCAAGAGTTGAGCTCTTGTTCTCTGTATAACTTATGTGACCATTCTAAAAACACATCAGTTGTCTTTTCTTAGTAGTTACTAAGATAAGGCAGAGATTTAAAAGATGAAAATATTCCCACAAAATTATGTCTGACTCAGGAAAGCAAGTGGTGTTGGTGGTGGCCAGGTTCTGAATTTGAATTTTCATTTTGTTTGTTGTTTTGTCTAGTTGAGTATTTAAAAGTGATTATTCCCCTCCTATGAACTTTCAACTCTAAAATGTAAGAAAACCAAGTTTTCAGGTGTGGATTTTTTTTTCAATCTGCTTCTTATAAATCTTAACTGTCCCACAAAAGTGCTTTCACAGGGATTGGCTGTATGGTCAGCAGTATTGGTTGTGCTTTGATTTGTTCTGCTCTTTTAAAATAACAGTAAGTTGGAAGTTCCATCCTAATTGTAATAAGAGCTTTAAGGCAGTCTTAATTTACCTGTTGTTTTGCTTTTTGCTTGTGGTTTTTTTTTTATTATTTGAATCTGTTTTATGTCATTAGAGGTAAAATGTTGTTCCTAGCAGTATCAACATCAGTTCTTGAGCCTGTGTTTTCATTTTGAGGATTCACCTTGCTTATATTACTTACCTATAGAGAAGAGATACTGGAATTTTTATCCTCATTCTGCCTCATGTAGAGCGTTTCAGATGACTCATTAGGATTGTATTCCTTAAGTGATGTGGAACAGCAGATTCTAAATTTGTCACACAGACAACATCAAAACACAACATCAACCCATTTGTTCTTATGCCCCTGGCTCAAGGTGTTGTGTGTGCCAGCAGTTCTCCTGATGAGGCACAAGATGTTGGGGTGGATGCTGAGCATTTATGGAACAGTTTAATGTTACTGGAAGCAATTTCAACTTACAATCGTGATCTTAATTAAAAAATGGAAATTATTGTTTTAAAACATGTATGGAGTCAAGTTGCTCAAAATTAAATTACTTGAGAAAACAGGATGAAGAAGTTGCCTTGTTTCATTTCCTCCAGCTCTGTCTTGCCTGCGCTCTGCTCCCAACTCATGGGGGTTTTGGTTGGCTGGGAGGGTTATTTCCTTGTAGATCTCGATGTTCTGGTCTTCCATCTGAATTAAGGAAGACTGAGGCAGCCTTTTCAGCTGTGATTTGGAGGCTTGGAGTGCTTTTAAAGTAATTAGAAATGTTGTCCTCAGTAGGAAGCTGTCACTTGCCTGCGTTAGGAGCAGCTGTGCTGCAGCTGGCCCATCTCTGCACCTTGGGCTGCTGGTTGCCACTTGCAGCTCTCAGCCACACAAATCACAGGCTGAATAAATCACCCTGAGGAGGAGTGTGGCAGAAAGAAGGCATCCTCCTTCTGGGATGCTGACAGATTGGAAAGCCTCTGCTTAAGCATAACTGCTAACTTACTTTCTAAAGTGAAATTTGATAGTAGGCAAGGGTTAAGTATTTCTCCATGTGCTGTCCATTGTTTTCTGAGCTGGGAACAAATATGTTTGGAAACTTTCTGGTTCTGTCTCTGGTGTGATGACAGGGATGCCCAGGCCTGAGTTTGCAGGTGAGGTGTGGGTGCAGGTCACAGCTGGTGCTGGGTGATGCAAGAGGAGATGTGGCTCCTTGCCCTCTGCTTGCACACCTCCTACTTTTCTCTCCTCCTTCAGCTTTCTTTCCATTTGGACTCATGATTTTTTTTTCTTAAACTTTTCCAGCCCCAAACCTGGTTATAACATGTCCTTGCATCATATTTTTCCTCCCCTCTTTCCAACAGGCAGTAGCTGTCCTGCAGTTTTGATGTGAGGAGTACCTCCAGCTGCCTTTGGGAATTGCTCTCTTGGCATAGCTCAGAAGTACTTGTACTGAAATAAATAACCTTATATTTTATTAACCAACAAATTAAAATCATGTGACACATGCATCACTATTGCTTCCCATGACAGATAATAAGAACAAAACTTAATCTGAACTGGGAGCATTTGCATAAGGTGAATGTTTGCCTAGATACAAGTGTCTGTAACTTTGAAGTAATTTGATTTGTTCTCAAGGTTATTTTTCTGCTTTGGCTTTGTGTTTTGGCTTTGCATTAGGTCATTTCTTTAAAGCTCACGAACTGTTGATGCCTGAAAAAGTACACAGTAATTAGAACATCTACCCTGATAAGACCCAAAAACTCTGAACAACACTTTCTTGTTACCAGGAGGCGTCCGTGTAAAGTCCATGCAATAAGGTGATTTAGCTTGGGTGTGTACAGGTGATGCTGAGATGAAAGTTAGTGATAAATAGCACAAGGCCTTTCCCTAATCTCCCCATTAGTGCTGGCATCAACATGCTTATTAGATGCCTTGGACCTGTTTCAAGCCCCTCAATGTGTTGGACACCCAGGTTCTGTGTAGATACTGCTGTGTATTTGATCATAACAGCTACTTACAGGTACCTGACTCATGTGAGATCCAGGCATCACCCAGCTGTCTTTTCTGCTGAAGGAAGCCAGACACTGGGAACCTTGATACATTTTATGTTAAATTAAAAGAAAACACAGTTTCATCCTAGGAATCCAGAAGAGCCCTTTGTTACAAACCAAGAATCCCAGAGCTCAGGTGTAAATGGAGGTAGTTTGGCTAGATTTGAAAATGTGTATAAATAAGCCTTTGCTCTGTTAGGAGTCTAAGGGCACATTGCCCTGTGTGTATATGCTGTGTTTGGAGCTTACAGACATGGAAAATGCACACTGCACATGGGCAAGGATGGCTGGGGTTGAGGTACACATTGTCTGTTCTGCTGGAAATGTACATTTGGGGCAGGAGTTTTCAGCTGACAAGCTGTAAATCAGTGCCTGCCATTGCAGCATGAGCTTTAATGGGAGTCACAGAACTTTCCTAATCTCCTTCCAGATGTTAGGAAATAACCAATTTCCTAACCCACGCCACGCTGTTGTTGTTATTTGTAACTTGTGCAGACAGGGTGAAGCAGCTCCAGCCCTGCTGCATGGGCACCGCTATCTGCAGAGTAGAAAAGGAATGTGAAGCCAGGACCACAAGGATGATGAACTAAAGGGCTAAAATTACTGGCCTTATTCACACTTAAAAATAGCTCCTTACAGACTAAGGTTTTATTTGATGTGAGTTACAGCTTAATTTGTGAGAAACTTAATTTATTCCGATATGAGTAAGTGAGGCAGAATCTGCCCTTAGCTAAGACCTATTTATGTATTTGCTTAGCATGAGTGTGGATAGCAGGAGGCTGGACCCTTTCAGCTTAGCAAAGCCACAGCTTTTCACATTAAGGAACTGATTCTATCTAAGGATATATTCAAATGAATGTTAAAAAGTTGTAAAAGCTTTTATTTTGGAGTGCTGTGGTATACATGTAGGTCACTATATATACACAGAAGTAGGGAAACAAACTTTCTTGTCTTTATATAATGTATTCTTCATTGACCAAAATGTGGAAAACTATGTTAAAAACTGGTCTTTTATTAGCTCTTGTGGCTGTTGGCACCAAACTGGTGGATGCTGCTCCCTTTTGAACATTTAAAGTTGTCTGTCCTGGAAGAAGTGTTTGCAGTGACAGCTGGTGGAAAGCAAAGTGTCTGCTGTGCTATTATTACTTCCTCACCTTTTCCCCATGCCTCCACCATTCTATTCACAGGCACATCACAGTGCTCCTGGTATGTTTAAAGAAATGGCTTGTAAGTGAAGTGTCCACTGATGTAGATGAATATTTAAAGCTCTGCTGAGCAGCACATGGGCTGTTCCCTGCAACTGTGAGTGCATGGCTTGGTTACAGCCAGGCACAGCATTAGGCTGATAACATCATAAACTACACAAAATGGTAATGCAATCCAAATGTTTGTGCTGCCAGTGAATATTCTGATCCCATCTGCTATCTCTAATTATTTCTTCCTTGGTAAAAAAAGTTTTGGTTTTGTTTTACTTTGGGTTTTTTCCCACCTTTATCAAAGCAAATTCTTGTGTTTCATCTGTCAGCAGAGCTGCTATTCTGTTGGAAAGTCTGAGTGAAGTTTCTGAATGCTTGTGATGAATGAGCTGGGATAAAACATACTTTGGCTCTTTGATGGCCTGGGTAGTTTGCAAGGCTGACAGATTTGTTCAGTTTGGAAATGTGATGAGCAGTATCAGAGGCCATACCTATGTGGTAATTCAAGGGACAGTTTTTCCATCACATTGAAAGGTTCTAACATCTCTGTTGTGGCCCAAGAGATCCATATTCTGAGATCTCAGATTCTTCACAAACTGACAGCAACCAATGCCCAGATTTTGAACTTTGCTCTTTTCCTTTTCTCTTCTCTTAGAACAAAATTGAATTACAATCCTCCAAAGGATGATGGCTCAACATACAAGATTGAACTTGAAGGGATATCTGTTGATATCATGAAAGAGATACTAGACTACATCTTCAGTGGGCAGGTATGGTATTAAACACCCCTAAACCTCACTTGGACTATTTGGCAAAATAACTGGAATTTTAACACTGCTATCCTGAAAGAAGTTTAAAGCTTTGTGATAAAGCTTCTGCAGAGTGGGACTGTGCATATGAAGTAGAGGCAATAGGCTCTGCAGGAGTTGTCTCCTCTTCTTGTGTAGCAGGGGAGGACTTTAAAATTTAGAGTCAATGTCAAATCCTGGTATTAAAATTGGTGGCTACCTTCAGTAATCTGCTTTAAAACAGGCAGTGTTTGTCAGCTGTGACAGAGGACTGCTTTGGTAGCTCAGAGTGGAGACCCCATCACTGAGGGTTACAGTACACAGGGCACTCTCCCTCCCTGCCTCTCGTGCCCACCTCTCTGGCCTCTGGTCACATCTGCCTGCCAGGAGCCTTAGCAGGAATTAAAGTCAGTGTGTCCAGTTCATTTGGAACCAGACTAAGATTGGTGAACAAGTTTAGCTTTCAGCAGAAAAAGAAAAGGCAGATTTGGCTTGAAATTCATTCCTGCATGTGTTTAAAAAATTATTTATTTATTACAGCAAAACTCATTATAGGTTCCCGGATGAGAGGAGCAATTTTATGGTTGGTTACTTCAGGAATTTATCAAAATTTCTGCTCCACACCTTCTATCAAGCAAATGTCTTTCCAACCCTGTCTTAATTAATTAATGGTTAGCAGTCATATCAGTTTCTCCTGATTCTTACACTGGCATTAATACTCAATTTTTCAGCCACTGAGAATGAGTGTAATGAATGCGGGCATGTCATGGAACAAATGAGTGATAGTAGCTATAACTTCTAAATTAATTCTTGCAGATCAGGCTAAATGAAGAAACTATCCAAGATGTGGTACAGGCAGCTGATCTCCTGCTGCTTACAGACTTAAAAACTCTCTGCTGTGAGTTTTTAGAAGGTTGCATAGCTGCTGAGAACTGTATTGGTATTCGGGACTTTGCACTGCACTATTGTTTGCATCATGTTCACTACCTTGCCTCAGAGTATCTGGAAACTCACTTTCGAGATGTCAGCAGCACAGAGGAATTCTTGGAACTGACTCCTCAAAAACTGAAAGAAGTGCTGTCCATGGAAAAGCTCAATGTTGGAAACGAAAGATACGTCTTTGAAGCGGTGATTAGGTGGATTTCTCATGATTCAGAATCCAGAAAGGTCAGGACATCCAAATGTTTGTATTTTGAACATGTCACAAATTGGAGTGTTCATTCTAATCAGTGGGAACTTGAAATAGATCTGTTTCTTTCAGGACTAATCTTACAGAATTTATTGAATTTTGCCTGAAATGCAGACCACGGCATTGCAGTAAAAGAGTGAAAGCTGTGTGGTTGATATATTTTCTGCTGCCTTCATCATTTAATAGGCATTAAGAAAAAAAGGCACCATTTTTGACATTTGATGATATAATCTTGTTTGCATGATGAGAAAGCAAGTTGCATGTTTATAGAGAAACTTAGAGGACTGGATGCATTTTCTTACTAACGCTCTCTTGTACAGTTTATTGCTTGCCAGTATCAAAAACTCTCAAGTATTTGCTAAGCACAGAAGCATCTGCATGTCCAGGTGCCTCATGCTGGAGGTGACTTTGTGTCCGTGCGTGTCCCAGGTGCACATGAAGGACGTGATGTCGGCAGTGTGGGTGTCGGGGCTGGACGCGGCGTACCTGCGCGAGCAGATGATGAGCGAGCCGCTGGTGCGCGAGATCGTCAAGGAGTGCAACAACATCCCCCTGACACCCCCGCAGCAGGGAGAGGCCATGCTGGCCTCCTTCAAGCCCCGCGGCTACTCCGAGTGCATCGTGACTGTTGGGGGGGAGGAGAGAGTGTAAGTGTGCGGTGGTGTGGCTGCTGGTCCCGGTGCCAGCGCCCACCGCCCTGAAAACGCAGATGTGTGCACCTATTGCTTGTTACTCTATCATTTGAGTTTGTTTTAGGTTGGTCAGACACACCTAAAATACCTTTGGGGGTGATTCAGCAATAAATAGTTATTTTGTTTCTGACATTCAACATGTAGTAAGCTTTGAGTAGGGTTGTTTGTTTAGTGAGTGTTGGTTAGATTTTTTTTAAACTGAATAGACTTAAACACAGAATCATTTCTGATGATCTGAAAAGCATCTCTAACATAACTTAGGGGTAATGAACATGTGCTTTAAACTGTTTTGTTTATAATAGATGTGGTTGTAAAAAAAAATATAGTCATTATAGGTGCATCTGAGAAAAGGTGAAAATTCCTGTTCCATACTATAATCCCTTCCTTCTGTGGAGTACCCCCTGCAGCAGAAGGGAGGGTTCAATCCTGTTTAAATAAATCAAGCATTTAGATGTTAGCTCTTTATAGAAGCATAGTAAACCCCTCAGATAACATTTTGCATGTCAGTTTGTGAATCACTTTACTCAGACATTACTAATACTGTCTATCAGTTCTTAGCTCGTTCAAAGTTCGTAAAAAAGGTTACAGGCAGATACAGTAGGAATGAAGTGAATCAGCTTTTTATGTCTCCAAGTCTGTACAAACTCAATTTACATGTTTGGTTTGGGGATCTTCTCCTTACCAGGGAAATGCCACGTGATGAATATACAGGAAAACAAGAACAAGCCAGCTTTGGACACGAGCTGTTAACAGTGAACTCGTAAAACTCTGTCTTTGTCTTTCTGTTTCTGTTTGTTCCCTCCCCACCCTGTGTTCAGATCACGGAAACCAACCTCAGTGATGCGGTGTATGTGTCCTCTTTATGATCCCAATAGACAGCTCTGGATTGAACTTGCTCCTATGAGTATTCCAAGGATCAATCATGGAGTATTGTCAGCAGGTAAAGGGGAACTTCATCTTTGTAAAGTCAATGTTATGAAAACTTACCAGTGCCTCAAAATCTGACATACAGCTTATAATAATATATTTTCTTTAAGACTGACTGCACTGGGGTTATTTCATGCTTCCCCTTTGTCTGCCCAAAACTGTACTCGATTCTGTGAAAATCCCTGTCATCTGAGTGTCTTAAAATCACTATTCCTGCAACATTTTGTGGGAATCTGCTACATCTGTCTCTCCAGGAGTATTTAATGTTTTAAGTAAATTCTAGTTGCTGCATCACTGAATATGTTGAAGGGTATCTGCAGGGGCAGACTTGAGTGAGATGTAAGTATGTGCTTTACCTTCTCCAGTCCAGAGTCTGACCTGTGACTGGTCTGGATCTCTTGGTGAATTCCAGAATACAGCTCACCATTCATGTTGTTTTGCTCAGTGTGCAGGTGTGAGTCCTCTTCTTGAGAGTCCTGTTCTTAAGATCATGTTACATTTTGTTTTACAGAAGGATTTTTATTTGTGCTTGGTGGTCAGGATGAAAACAAGGGAACGCTAAGCTCTGGAGAGAAATATGATCCAGACACCAATTCATGGAGTTCCTTACCACCAATGCTTGAGGCAAGATCTCTATCTAACTGTTGGGATTTAAGTTTTTACTTTGGCAAAATGTTCCTTTTCTTCTGCAAAATTTTATTCTGAATCTCCAGTCGCTTGCATCTTACACATTCAAAATCATGCTGCAGACTGACTTCTGTTTATATCCTGTTGTTCTTGTGGTCTGATGCTGACTGCTGGATCTGGAAAAACTAAACAATTGGTGAAGAGCTAACTGTAAGATGAACTACAAAATTTCAGGAATTTCATAATGAATCAGTCCTATAGTATACTTAATGTTCTGCGTATACTGGCCTTCTAAAACAAGAGACCTCTGAGATGGACAAAGGGATCGGACTGTGCAGAAAAGATGGACAGAGGACTGGCCAACATACAGAACTTGGCTTGCACATATTTAGGTTTGGTTTGAGTTAATGCTTCCTTCTTCATAATTACATTCCATCAAAAAGTAAAAGTTTGTTATTTGTAAACATATATCCTTAATACACCTGTGTTTTTATCTTTGTAAATCAGCACAGGGTGTTTATTAAGAAGTTGCTTACCACAGGTTTTTCCTCTTTGCAATCTCTGGTTAACAAAGGCATGTAGATTTGACTACAATTTTAGTTATGATGCATTAAATTTCCTGCTTGTGATATGTTTGCTGTGAGACTGAGGGGTAGCTGGGCTCATACATACAGAATAGAAGAGCTGCCTTTGCACAGAGAATGGGTCCAGGCTTTGCTGCTAGAGAGACCTGAAAGCAACAGCTTCATTGCAGAGACCACCACTATGGGAACTGCAATATGGCCAAGCTCTGTTCTTAGATTTCTCTGTGGTCTCTTTGGCTTCTGCTACTCTGCCTTTTTTTTTTTTCTCCTTTTGATACCCTTTGTTTTGTTTAGTTGATTAAATTAATAATCTTAGGCTTATGAAGTTTAGGACTTCACCATTAAAAAAAAAAAACAAAACAAAACAAAAGCCAGGCATAATATCAATAGCACTTTGCAGACAGTTAGTCTGAAAAATAAGATTGTGTTCATTTATTCACAATGGCAGTTATGTTTTTCAATGTTGACTTTATTGATGTTCCTTAGGCACGACATAATTTTGGTGTGGTAGAGATTGATGGGATTCTGTATATTCTGGGAGGTGAGGATGGTGAAAGGGAGCTGATCTCTATGGAGAGCTATGATATTTATAGCCGGACCTGGACCAAGCAGCCAGACTTGACCATGGTTAGAAAGGTAAAAACAACATCCTATATGATTGTGTTGCTTCTTGTTAAATAGTAAATGCAGATATATGTATGTGTATATATATGTATAAAAATATGTATTTTAATATTTTGCTTCAAGTAGAAGATGTAGCAAATAGTCTCAAAATGAAATGAGAGTGAGCAGCTTCTTCTCTCTTTATACACCAAAACAAAACTGTGCCTGAGCATTTTTATGCCTTGCATTGTTTGACATGGGGTATAGGCAAGCCAAATTCCTCTGTGTGTGTGTGTGTGTGTACAGACAGCTTTGAGCTCTCAATACTGTGCATTTGTGTGTCATTTCAGATATATTTTTCTTTTTTTCCATAAGATTGGCTGCTATGCAGCTATGAAGAAGAAAATCTATGCAATGGGTGGAGGCTCCTATGGAAAACTCTTTGAATCTGTGGAGTGTTATGACCCCAGGACTCAGCAGTGGACAGCAATCTGTCCTCTCAAAGAGAGGAGGTGAGGGAAAATGGAAGTGGGGGGACTAGATTGCTTTCCAACCCTCTGATGGGAGGAAAGTGTCCTTTTTCTGATGAATCTGTGAAGATGGCCTGTGAATCTCACCAGGTCTTTCTGAGTTGTGGTGGCTGTAGTTAACATGTGGCTGAGTGAAGACGAGCATCCAAGCAATAAATACAAATTTGGTAGAAACATAGCCTTGATGTTACAAGCACTAGTTCCCTGATGCAAAGTGAAAACAAGAAATTATAGTTCAATTGGAACTTCACAGTATTTTTAGAGATAAATATTTTTACTGACTTTTTTTTTTTTCTGATCTGAATTAGGTGCTTACAATTAATATCCATGACTCATCTTGTTGGATATTTAAGGCATCTGTGTGTATAAATAAATAAAAGAGTAAAAGATGAAGAAATTTCAGAGGGGTTTGCAAAAGGGTTTTGATACATGGCATTAATATTTTTTCCTTGTTTGGATTTTCAGATTTGGGGCAGTGGCCTGTGGAGTTGCCTCTGAGCTTTATGTATTTGGTGGGGTCAGGAGTCGTGACGACAGCCAAGCCAGTGAGATGGTGACATGCAAATCAGAATTTTATCATGATGAGTTTAAAAGGTAACTGCTGCAGCTCTAAACACAGACAGTAACTTGCCATCCAGTCATCTGCCTGCTCCCTCACCCCTTGTTCCTGCACTCTGATTCACATGAGGTCTGTGCCATGTGTCTGTTGCTCATTTCACTTTTTGTCACCCGGTCTGGCTGTTACTGAAGGCCCATCCACTCCACTTTTCCCTCTAATGTGCCAAGCCTAAATCCCTGGAGCCACCAGGTCTTGAGTGTCCCTGGACAGGAGAAGCACCTTGGTCACACAGGGAGTTTGTGGCTCTTCCCCTGCACTCTGCAATTTCCCCAAGTGCAGGGTACTTCTGCCCCTACCCCTGCTTGTGCCCACAGCTCCCTGTTGAGTGCTCATTGCAGCTCTTTTCCAACCTAAATGATGCCATGGTTCTGTGGAGGAATGTATGTATATACAGGGATACTTCTTCATGATCCAACCCTATCCAAAGATTTGCAGCTTAGGGAATTCCTAAACTAGAGATAAGAAATTTGATGCATTTCTGTTCCAAGCATTTATAGCTTATGGCACCCATGTAGGCTTTTGCCATAGGAAAGACACTATGGATGCTGTACATCCCACAGGCACCTCCCCACACTGCATGGCTCATCTCCTTCTATTTCTTTTGAATTTGCTTCCAATTACTTAATTTTTTATCTCTTGGCTCTGGTAGTGGAATCCAACTTACTATATGTGGTAACCATTCAAAATGTTACCTTACATTGAATTTTTTGTTTAGTCACCTTGTTCTCCAGTCATAACTGACAAGCTTGGTTCCTCCAGTGACTTTTTTCTTGCATATAATGGTAAATTGGATTATTCTTCTTTCATAAATTAAATTTTAAAAAGACTTTGTGGTCAGATGTTTCGAGGCTTGTTGACAAGTGAAGGAGATTAGCATGTCTTTATTAGAAGATCAAGACTGATTTATGACTGTGACCTGTATAAAAGGACACAAAAATAGAACAGTAGATGTAAATTCATTATATAATTTTCTTGCAAGATATGGCTGTAAAGAGACTTTAATTTCTGTATGAAGAGGTCTTCTCTGTTGTTCAAAGTGATGTCTAAACTAGCTATAATCAAATGAAGCTGAAGAAAAACATCCTTTAAATTGGTTAAAAGAAGCAGACAGATCAGAGGGGCTGTTGCTGCTGATGCTCCCTTAGTGTTTGCTAGCCTTCTGGAGGCTGGGGAAATGGCAGAAATTTATTAATGTTTTGCAAGAGGTCTTTGAAAGGGAAAGAACTGTGGAAAGAAGTGCTCCCCTCTCTCCTACTTGCTATTTTCAGCTGATTTACTTAAAATATTTCCAGCCTGATTCTGTTCTTCAGAAGGTTATAGCTCATGGTTCCTCAGCAGTGGCTGCAGACCTGTTTCACTGGTTGATGCAGGTTGAGTTTCCATGCAGGGGAGTTTGGGGAGCTGGGAGGGCCCAGCCTGGGTGCTGCCATGGTGCCACCTGCTGACTGCACAGCCACGCCTGCCACAGTGCCACGGCTTTGTGTCCTTGCTTGGTGGCATCCCCAAGCACTGCAGGATCCCAGTGGAGCAGTGATAAAGCTGCAGCTGCCCCAGCTGCTCTGAGTGCTGGCTGTGTGCTGGGAGGCTGTGCTGGCACGGGGCAGGGCAGGCAGCAGAGCTGACTGATGCAGCTGATGGAGGAGGCACGTGGGGAGGGCAGCTGAGATACCAGACTTTGCTTTCCTGCTCTGCCACTGCCCAGTCTGAGCTTGGAAATGTAACTCAGCATGAACCTGCAGGCAGGGCACAGGTTTGGGGTGTTTCTGTGGAGATTGGGGACCAGGGAAGGCTGAGATGGTGGCAGCTGCTCCCAGGGTTTAAGAGGCCCCAGCTCAGCCCAGGGGTGCTGTAGCCAGAAGAGGGTGCAGTGTCTCTGAGTTATGTTCCAGCACTCAGCTCCAGGGTCTGTCAGTTAGCCCAGGTTTCAGTACCCTCAGAGCTCTGTGTAGCAGATCAATTCTAGCAGTCTCAAACCAAAATTCACAGTGACTTTTTAAAGTTATTTACTAATACTTTTTAGTGAGCTGTGGGCTTTTCCAGCTGTTTTTAAGTAAGTGGAGAGCTCCATTATGTTCACTTTCTGGGTGGATGCAGAGAGCTCTCTGGCCTGTGAGTTCAGCTGTGCATGGTGTTGGTTCTGGGGTACGTGCAGCAGTGCACACCTGTGTCATCTGCACAAATTTCCATGTGTGCCTCAGGCCTCATTGCCAGAGCACAGGCTCCAGCATCATGCCAGGCACCCAGAGCCTGAGTGTCTGAGTTACAGGTTTTACTCCAGAGTGAATGTCTAAGGTTGTACTCACATCAGTATATAAACATATTAATTCATGTAAGCTGCCATAATTCTGGCTTGAATTGGATTAAAGGACTGGACTTGTTTAATATTGTTTACTTTGACAGCAACTTACTCTAAAATAACTCACAGTGCAGAGTCTTTCAAAATTGTTATTCTTAACCATGACGCAGACTTTTCAAAGACTGGGGATATGCTGAGATCTTCACACTAGCAAAAGAAATAAACATTGAGACTCCTGTTAAGCTGTGCTGTATAAACAAGTAATAGAATAAATGAAGTGAGACAAAATAGTAGCATCTACATGAAATGTGAACAGGGTAATGTAGGAAATAATTCTCATACTTGAAGTGCTGCTGTAACTGAGATTTTTCAATTAATAAATGTTTTGTCAGGTTGTCTTTAGAGTCATGTGCATGAGTGGATTTAAGTGAACCCAAAGATAGAAAAAGCTGCATGTCAGACTGCAGAGTTTTTGCAGGATGTAGATTTTTTTTTTCAAAGGCTATAGATTGAGCTTTGTGTGCATTGTATCCTGTTTTTTTAAATATCGATCAAGCTAAAAACAGATTTAATGAATGTGAAAATGGAAGATGGAAATGTGAAGGTATCCTTCACTCAGTGATCCAGTGTTGGTCTACTCCATAAAATGCAGGAAGTCTTAAACACATACTTAAGACCTTGATGGGTCAGACTTTCTATCAGAGTCCATAATTTAGAATACAATTTTGCATCATTGCATGATGTCTGTACACACTCGGGTTTTTTCTTTTCTATGTGGATGGTTGGAAATATTTAATACAGCCCAAGTTGACTTCAGGATTCTTTGCAAGATCTGCTGGTGTATGGCCACTGCTGCCTTTCCCTGGTGGTCTATAAGTGGGGTAGGATTTCTTCCTTCTTCTCATGATTCAAAAAGGAATTACAAAAATTTGCAGGTACAAAGAGAGATAAAAGTGAGAGAGAATTTTCAGCAGCAGTACTTTGGTAAAATATCCTTTACAATGTTCTTTTTGCTACTGGAACATCATGGAAATAAGGAAGAGCTTTCAGCAGCATATAACTAGTGAACTAAACAGTCTTGTAACATAGTATGTGTAATTAGCAACATTCTTCCAGTCAGTGTGCAGGAATTTCATTAAAAGCAAGTGCTTATGCAAATGTAATGAGAACACTGATTGACAGCACTGTCAGATGAGAGGAATGTGGATTTTCATTCATTTCCAAGCTTCCTTTCTCAGCTGGGGTGATCTTGAGGTGACGTGTCTGGAATATGTTGGCTGTGTATCACATCTTTATTTACTTCCCACTTGGAAATAAAGCAGTTACCCCCATCCCACTCGTTATCTACAGCAGTGTGCATGGATCATTTTGTTTCTCTCACTTAAAGACTGAAAGAAATTAGGCTTCCTTCCCTTCTATTTTTAAATGGGGTGGAAGCCTGTTCCAGTTTCAGAGCCATCACTTCTGCCCCTGGTTGCAGCAGGACTTGCCTCCCCCTGCTCCTCTTGGACTGGGTTTGAGCGGAGCCATCCCAGGGAAGTACGCAAGAGTTCTGTTCCAAGGACTGTTTTCAGATTCCTGAAGATTGGGAATTTTTGGTCATGGTGTTTTTTCCATACTGTTCAAACAGCAGGCACAACCCACATTAAGCTGGAGCTTAGTCAAATTCTGATGAAACGTGACCCCTTGCCCTTCCTGTCTTTGTTCCTTCCTAGTTTTAACTGCTAAAGCTGCTGTGAGTGTTCCTGAAAAGTGCTGCCTGTTTTTTAAAGCATTCACGTTGAGAAAGCCTGAGGATGAATTTTCACAAGCAGCTACAGAAACTTTAATACTGTCCTTTGGTGATTCACAGTAGGAAAATGCTTGGGTCTCACCCTGTGGGTTTAGGTTTTTTATTTAAACTCCAAAACCCAGAGTATCTAGTGTGGATAAACTCCTGATCTGAGTTTTTTCCCTTCCTTTATCTGGTCCTATAGTTAGAATTTAAAAAAAATAATAATAATCCAGTCTTCCTTCTGCATTTCTCTGCTACTTACTCAGTTTTCAGAATTCTAGGTCACTTGCTGCTAAAAAAGCAATGAAAATACTGTGCCCTCCTCCTACAGTAAGGGAAGGAAGCTAATGAAATATGGTGCAAGTTGTTTTGATCTGTGAGAGTTTCTAAACCAGGGTAGAGAACTTCTCCTTTTCTCTTGTTAGTTCATCTGTCCTCCTCTATGACAGCTACAAACCATTTCCTTGCTTTTTGCAGAACGTTAATCCTTCAGTGTACAGCACAGACAAAATAATGGACAGCCAATCCTTTCATTTGCCCTTTAAAAATTGATTTCTATCTCCAAGATAATTGATATGGAGCAGCATCTCCTTGAGTGCCAGAAGACTGGTTTACTTCTGAATCAGGAGTTCAGATGATGCAGAATTTTCAAAGATCAGCAGTATCTGGGAGGGCATTTTCTAACTTTTTCCTTCAAATTAACCTGGTATGGCCATGAAAATATATGGAATGATTTTCAAAGGTTTCTCAGACCTTTATGTTCTCTGTAAATTATTTAATAAAAAGTGTAGGAACAGTCCCCTAAAATGGCCTTGATTTGTACATGTCAGGGTCTGTGTGTGGTAACTGTGACAGCATCTGCAAAAGTGCAGGAGCATTTTGTAGGAATTTGTTTCAGAACTACACTGTGTGGCTGCAAGAAGAATTTATTATAGGTAGATTACACAGATGAGTGGAGCAATTCTGAAATTGAGCAACTTCAGGATACAGCAGTACCAGCTGCTTTTCCTGGCTAGGAGAAACCAGGACTGTCCCAAACTATACAATGTTCCCTTTACATAACAAATTAATATGTAAACTCTGCTTTTGAGTCAAAGATACAGCTTCAAAAAGACTCAGGATTACTTTTTTAAATGTGATCACTAAAAATCAAATCCTGTTTTTCAATTGTTATTTTTACAGGTGGATTTATCTAAATGACCAGAACCTATGTATCCCAACTAGCTCTTCTTTTGTGTATGGAGCTGTGCCCATCGGAGCCAGCATATACGTGATTGGAGATCTCGATACAGGTCAGAACCAGGACTAAAAACCTCTTTATGCTCATTTCCTTCCAATATTTTGAATACTTGGTACTAAGACTGAACATTTTAAGAATAAGAGGCTGGGACACTGTTCTGTCACTGTGGCTCAAGGGAATTATGCTGGACATACAGAAACACACAGGTTGGTTTTGGGCTCTTCAGTAACAAGTTCAGTGCCATGAGCATTGGCCTGATTTGGTTGATAAGTTTGAAGACCACAAGAGGTTAAGACTGTGTTACTGCTTTTATCTAAGGGTAAGAAGACCTGTTAGTGCCTGAGGTTGTAACTCCTGTCTTTGCAGTGGGAAACAGGCAATTCTGCATTCTAGGGGCATCATCCAGTGGTTCATAAGGATGTGATAGTGACTCTTGGTTCTCAATCCCAGCCAAATAGATGTGTGCTATCAAACATACTCAGTTCAGAGCCACCAGCATCTGGCCACGCTCTGTAAAAGAGATTTGGAAGACTTTTGTGGCCATGTGTATGTATATGAGTGTGTAGCAGGGCTTTCTCTGAAATACAAGCAAACAAAATTACAAGTTTGATGGGTTTAAGTAGATCAGAAATGTCATAGTAGTTCCTTTTTGATAATAATTTCAACCACCCGTGCAGACACTGATGTGTGTTCCTGTGCCTGCTCTCCTTCACGTATTTGCCTTACTAACGTTGGCAGGTGCAGTGAGTTTTAAGTATTCCATCTCTTTTTTTTTCGTTAATTCAGGTACAAACTATGACTATGTTAGGGAATTTAAGAGGAGCACGGGCACCTGGCAGCGCACCAAGCCGCTGTTCCCCTCGGACCTGCGCCGGACGGGCTGCGCGGCGCTGCGCATCGCCAACTGCAAACTCTTCCGGCTGCAGCTGCAGCAGGGATTGTTCCGCATCCGCGTACCTTCTCCGTGAGCCCGTGCTGCCAGGGGACCAGACTGGAAGAGTTCTGTGCAGTCCACCATAATCTAGCTCTATTTAAAGGAAAAGCTGAGAAATTACAGCTGAAAATTACACTGTATGCTGTGCTTTGGTATGGTAACTGTTTTTGTTTTAAATGCTTACAAAGCTTGAGTCTCAGTACTTGTTTTGGGAACAAATAACTTAAGTACACATTAAAGAGGAGAGAAGGGGGAAAATAAAAGGGGGAGATCAAGGAAACACCTTCAGTCGTAACCATTTGGAGTTTAAACCTTGTTATTGAAGGAGGATTTTGTGTCTGGAACTGGTGGGAATCTGTTTCCTTCTGTTTCCTTTGGTGAAGCTTATTGAAAAGCAAAAAAAAAAAAAAAAGCTTTCAGGTGCGTTTCCCCTGCGGGGAACTGATACGAATCCATGTGCTATCTGGAACTGGATAGCTGTAATACACAGAAGCTACATGAAAACCAACCTCCCTGGTGTGCTGCTGTTGGAGCATGAGGCCACAGGAGTCGTTGGTCATTGCACCTTTTATTTCTAGTCCTTTCTCAAAAGATAAGGTCTGTGCCTAAAAAATGGTGGAGGTGTGTACATACGGTTTTTCATTGATTTGCAACGGTTTCATTCTGACAAATATTTTTAATATATATAAAATGGACTAATCTGAAATGGATACACCCCAGAAAATGGATCCAGTACACCACAAAGAAGTAAACAGTTTTTTCCTATGCTGTCATTCGAGTAGCCTGATGAACTGGTCTGCAGGTGGGTGGCGTGCGCTTCTGGGTGGGCTTTGGTGGCTGTTTTCCTTCAAGTGAAAAGGGAAGATGTGTTTGGAACAGTTAGTGATGATTGCTGCTTTTGGTAAGAGCAAAAGGACAAATGAAATAGATTGTGTTCCTTTTTACTTCAGATTAGCTTGCAAGCTAAGAACGGTTTTTAAGACTGAGGATTGCAGAAAGGTGTATTTTATGTCTCTTAGAACAAAGGTGAAATATGACAAGGATATATTTATTTTGCAGAAAACATGGGGTTTGGACTAAGAGTTAAGAAAAATTTGTACAGTGACTTTAAATTGGGATCAAAAGTTGGTTTACTAATGATTTCTGTGCTACAGTACAGTCTTGTTTACTGCTGTCTGACTTTGAAAGCTGGGTTTTATGGTGTGGTTATAGTGAAGAACTTAGTATCTTACGTTTTATTTCTTACTAAGCCTTGTTCACATCAGTAGTGATATTTAATTGACTTTTTGTTTGTAGTCAAGATCAGCTGGTAGAACAGTTTTACCTCAATTTTTGATTTCTTTGTTGTTGTGATGGGTGGGACATAACCTGTATTTATTTAAAAGGAATAAAATGGGAGAGATGGAAAATAGAAATAATACCTCCTGCCCTTCAGAAAAAGAGACTTTGTACAACCAGTATTATAACAACATACAAGACTTTCCACTCTGCAACTCTGTGGACCTCAGACAAGCCAAACTCTGCCCTCAGTTGTGTTAGTGTAAACCTTTGTCATCTTTATTGAAATCATCTTACATACATTGAAATATGATCCCAAACTAATTCAAAATATTGGTATTTCACTAAAAAGTCCTTGAAGAGCCATTCTGAAACTTATTTCTGCTCTGTCCTTCCATAGCACTGATGTGGGGTTGGAATTACTTTGATTCCTGAGCAGAGGAATGTGGGAGGGTGGGGAAAAGGGCAGCAGCCAATCCATTGACCTTTTTTTATTTTTATTTTTTACAATGCTGAAGTGCTGCAAAACTTGAACTATATACATCGATTTTCTGACCTATATTAGTTGGCATATTAACAAGTTTATATATTTATGCATTGCAGTAACTTGGTGTGTGTGTATATATGTCTTTAGATTTTAAATTTATATATAATGCTTTACTACAGAAATGTGAACCACTATTTCCATCCTTGGCTGGCTTGTGAAATAAATCAAGTGCTGTTAGTTTATCTGTTAAACTTCCCTTTTTTGAAAAATCTTACATGGATCAATTTTTTTTTCCTCAGACAAAGTGCCAAGAGTCCATATTCAAAAGTGATGAATGTTCCTAAGTATCTGTTTCACTTTGAGCTCAGTTTTCTAAGTGGCTTGGAAAACTTCAGAAAATGTTATTCAGAATATTGCAGCTGCTATCTCCTGAGTCCCTGTAGCTTCCCAGTACACTTGAGGGCATTCAGCATCCAGAAAACGTAAGTGATAAATGCACATGATAAACCCAAGTAAATACTCTAGCAGTGTTTTGCAGTTCAAGTTACTGAACCAAATGTTTACACTTAGAGTAGGATTAACACTAGGCGTTCTTAGTTTGATTTTTTTTAAAGAAAACATAAATAAAACAAACAAATCTGCTGGTGATTGGAGCGTGTTGCGAATGCACTCGGTGAGATTTGACCAAGAAATTTAAGCCTCTGTACCTGAACCAGTCACAAACTGAATTTCTGAGCACATTGTACTCGTGTCATGTTCCACATGGCTGAGACCAAGTCTCCAGGGATGCTCTCCAGGGGTTTGGGGTGTGTGCTCAAGATTTAGGCACTCCTGAGATCTCAAAACTGGCTTCCTTGGCCTTGCCTAAGGGGATGGCACCATTCCCCTTCTGCATTGTCTGTGGGACTGATCCAGGAGCTCTTCTAACCTCTGTGTGTACAGGAGGGAAGGGATGTGTCTTCCTGTCTGTCTGTCTGTCCAGCTCTGATCTGGGAGTGCATCCCTTGGATTGTGCAATAACCAGGTTTGATTTCCCTCAGAATTTGGAGCAAGGCTTATGGTGTGGTTATAGTGAAGAACTACAACCACACCATAAGTGTGGTTTGAAGCCAAGGCTCCCCTTTCTGCAGGGATTGGACCAGTGGTGGTGTAGGGGTGAAGAGGCAGAGCTCACCTCTGGCTTCTCTTTCTCTTTCCCGAGGGGTGGTTGCCTTCAGAAGGAGAGGGAGGCTGAGATGGTACCAGAGGTGCTGAGAGGAGGGAGGGCACCAGTTTGAACGTGCAAACAGCTGTAGATTGAACTGGGTTCACTGGTAAATGCCACCACTCAGCTGTCCCTGCTCTCCTGGCACTGTGTACCCCTGCACATGATGGCTGAGCAACTCAGGAGTTTTTCTGAGTTGCAGTCCAGGGGGTTTAGGTGGTTTGGCAGCTTAGAAACTTGTTTAAGTTGTCCTTGCTCAGCACAGTGGCCTTAATTCCTCCCAGCTCACTGTTGGCACTGACATTCAGCCAGGTCCTCCACAGGTGACAGTTTGAATGTGTGTCCTGGCCATGCAGGATGAGGACTGGCTGGGCCACCTTGAGCTTGAGGCACTTGGGCTGGGCCTCTGCATCCATTTTTCTTTCCCTGGTGAGGAATTGGACCAACCCCAGGTACTGAAATCAGAAATCACCAAATACAGGGTAGGAATTGTGGAAGATGGGATGAGCGGTGGCTTTTTTCTCCCATTACTCCACCTCTTCCCACAGTTCCCCCAAGAAAAATTTCTTCCTTTTTTCATGTGCCACAGATAATTTTGGAAAAATTTTGGAATTGTCAATTTTAGGGCAAAAGTGGGGGAAAAAAATATATGCTACTGTAAGCACACAGCAGTGTCCTCTGTGCTTGTTTTACACTTGTAGCCTTGTGGCTGCTCTGCACAGCAGAGAGAGATTACAGAAGCAAAGGTGTAAAGTGCTGTTGCTCTCATAAAATAAATCCCTTGAGTTTCTGAGGGAGGCACATGCCTGGCCTGGCTCTGTTCCTTACCTGGCCTTGACAGATGCTCGTATTCCTAAAGAGTCAGGCTTGGATTTCAGATCCTCTCCCTTGCTGCTTTTATAACTTGAAGAACAGGCATCCTGAAAAGTCTTCTGTTTTGCTGTACCACAGCAAGGTCTAGTTGTCCTTAAATATTTTGTCAGCTAATCCTTAAATTTTAGTTATTGTGAAAGTGTCAACCCAGCTGCTTCTGGACAAGTGAATTTCTGTTGTTTTGAGGGTACTTAATGTTTAAATTGAAGGCAAATTAATACAAAATTACACAAGAGGACAGAGGTGAATCTGAAACCAAAAGAAGCTCAAAATCAGCTCCCTGGTGGCTGTGGGCAGGCTGTGTCCCTGGTGTTTGCACAGCACGTGCCTGGCACACAGCCTGCCTTCAGGAGCAGAGATCTTGATAGGAAAATAAGGTTTTTATCAAAGCTGCTGAACCGCCTGGCTTCTGAACTCCCCCTCTAGAACACACCAGGCAGCTTGGTTGCTTTGCAATATTTCTGGTGCCTGCATGACTCAGTAAATGCACAAGTACAGAAAGAGGGGTCTGGGGAGGTTGTCCCCTGTTTTAACTGCAGTTTCTGTGTTTGTTCCATGAATGCTGTGCAGGGGCTCTGCTACCATGCATGTGCCATGCAGAGTGGAGGATGCAATAACAAATCCAAATTGTTACAAGTGCCAAACTTTTGGGTTCTTCTGTGTATAACAATAATTCAACTGTTCTACTAAAATACAGATATGCTTAAAATTCATGTGTTCCAAAAAAGAGCAGTGGTTCTTTTTTTTTTAAATGAATGCTATTGAAAGCAATGTAAATCTACTTTTTTTTTTTAATGCTGTTCTGCAGGTTTGTGTTACTCTTCACAGCTGCCTTGAGTATCACTCCATGTGATGCATATGGACACTTTGCTCTTTACTAGAGCACTGGTGCCATGCAAATATATAAAAAAAGGCAGCTGACAACAGGCTTTAGTATTTAAAATTATAACTGTTTAGATTAAGTGCAATTTGTTTGCATTTATCGACCTGCAGAATGAAACTGTGCCTCGGGAAATGTGGCTGTGCCCAGGGACACAGGCAGACTGAGCATTGTAGCTAAGGTGTGGTTTGGTGCCACTCACAGCAGTGCTTTCCAAGGAATTATATTTAATTTAGTGTTAAATGGATCCTTTCTGCCTCTAATTTAGCGCTGAGGATTTGGGGGTTGTGTTCTCTTTAGCCCTTTGGAGTACTTAAATGGCTACTTCAGGTGGGTGGGAGGGGTGTTAATTGCATCCGTGTTTGTAGAAGCTGCTATTTCCATCTTCCCAAAGGAGTATTTCCTTTTCCCCTTCAGGACTGAGTACAGGCCTGTGTTTCAGTCGTCATTGCTGCAGCCTTTTGACATTTGCCATTTTCTGATGCTCTTCCTTGTTTTTTTTTTTGGAGCTGTGTTTCCAGG